TTGACCAACCAATGAGCTGGTGCCCTGACAACACCCTGGTGAATGGATGGTGCATGGAATCTGTGAATGGATAGGTTGATCAACTTCTAGGACACATTCTGAATTTGTGCATTGGTATATCCAGTCTTGATTTCTATGTCCAGGCATTTGTGCTCCCAAACCTGCCTTTCCACCTGCTCCTTGGTCACCTGTTCCACATCCTCACCTCTTGCATCACCCAGGATTATATGGATGGGAAACAGAAGATACAGATAACATGTCCAAATTCCCACCGGACAATCAACTTGTGGACTCAATCACATCAAATGGGAAGAAAACAAGTGGTCCAGGATTTTGAATTTGGGACCATCTTCCCTGGCAAACAGAAGATGGAACAGAAAACTTGATTAATCGGCACTTGATCTTGAACAATGGCTCTCAGATAGACACATCAGATTCAGATACAATACCCAATGATACCCATCCTGTATATGCAGCCCAAAAATACAAACCCGCAGACAGATGCATGAAGCCTGTCTTGACAATAACACCCGAAAGTGTAAAAATACAGAGACACTTTCCCTCTGACCCTCTTGCTATGCTTCCCCCACTCCCTGATACCCAATCGACATTTATCCCTGGAAATCAGCTCACCTTGGAAAGATTTGCAGAACTGAAAATAAACAAATACAGATTTCTTTGGCCTGAAGAAGAAAAACTCATGGCATGGGTCCTTCATACCCACAAACAAGCATTTGCTTGGAACAAGCAAGAAATGGGTTTATTTTGCAGTGATTACTTCAACCTGGTCTGAATTCTGACAATTGAACATATACCCTGGCAGCAGAAGAATATTCTGCTGCCCCCCACTTTATTACCAAAAGTCCTCAAAGCATTACAGAACAAACTAAATGCAGGAATATATGAACCCTCCCAATCCTCATCCCAATCTCACTGGCTCTGCATTCTGAAGAAAGATGGATCCCTTTGTCCCATTTTGGACCTGCAACCATTGAACAGAGTAACAATTTGGGACTCTGCCCTCCCTCTGCTTTCTGAACCCCTCATCAAATCTTATGGCAGATGATCCGTTTATACCCTCTTCGATTTCTTTTGGGGCTTCAAACAACACCTCCTGCACCTGGAAAGTCAGGATCTCATGACTTTCCAATCCCTCAAGGGTTCCCTTTGCAGCACCCAAAATCAGATGGGTGGAACAAATGGCATCCAGATCATGCATGAGGATGTCACCTTCCTACTCTGTGATGAGATCCCCAAATATACCATCCCCTTTGTCAATGACATCCCCATTTGTGGCCCACCAACATGATACAAACTCCCCAAAGGTGATTTCGAATGGCACACCCAAAATACAGGCATTTGTTGTTTCATATGGGAACACATGGAAACCATAATTCAGATCCTGACCCACATTGAACATTCTGGCAGAACATTCAGTGGTCCAAAAATGGTAATTGAAGCTCCTGAAGTCGTCATCCTCAGGCAATGCTGTACCCACACAGGCTGACAACCTGAGCCTTCCAAAGTTGCAAAACTCTGGGACTGGCAGCTGTGCAAATCCCTCACAGAAGTTTGAGCATTCCTGGGTACCCTTGCCATCCTCCAAATATTCATCAAGGATTTTGCTATGAAGGCACACCCTTTGGAACATCTCAAATGCAAGGGCACAATATTTGCATGGGGCCCTGAGCATCAAGCCGCCTTCGACCAGCTAAAAGCAGATGCCTGCCAGGATGGACTCCTCTGTCCCATAGACTATGAAAGCAACTGCCATATTATCCTCATGGTGGACTCCTCGAATATTGGTGTTGAATACATCCTCTATCAGGACAACATAAACAGTAAATGGAAACTGGCCTGCTTTGGATCCCTGGCATGGAACAATGTCAAATCCCAATATTCCCAGCTAAAACTTGAACTATACAGCTTATACCATGCTCTCCATGCCCTGCAAGTCTTCCTGATTGGCATGCCCCAATTTATTGTTGAAGTGGATGCATCCTCCATCAAAGGGATGTTGAATAATCCGGACCAGCAACCTGCTGCAGCCCTCAATAGATGGGTCAGTGGGATACACCAGTTCAACTTCGATCTTGTTCACATCCCAGCTGAAAAACACACCGGTCCAGATGGTCTCTCCTGCCATCCCCCAAATTCACTGGATGCTCCAAACCTGCCTGACATAGACCACAAACATTGCCTGGGGCTTTTGTATCCCACATATCTTCAATCTGCTGTTGACAACTCTGAGCCCAAAATAGAGATACCCATGACCTCCTCTGCTCGACACCCTGACAACCACATTGCATTTATCTGCCAATACTTTACTCATTTGTTGCTCCCTCCAGACTGGAATACACAGCAGTGTGTGGCCCTTGTCAAACAGTCACTTCAGTACTTCCTCCACAAAGGCAAACTGTGTCAACATAGTCTCACCAGCTCCCCCCAAATATACATTCTGCCCACCAAACATCTAGCCCTGCTGAAACAAGCCCATGATGACAGTGGTCACAAAGGTTTCAAGACTGTTGCCGGTATTCTCCATCTCTGATTTTGGTGGCCAGACCTCCACATGAATATCAAATGATACCTCCATACCTGTCATGCATGTCAGATCCATAGCATTTGGAAGGTCCTCAAACCTCCAACAGTCAACTATCTGGCTCTGCTTTTCTCAAAGATTTACTGTGATAGCATGAAGATGCCTCCCACAAAAGGATACACCTGCATTGCTCAAGTCCACTGCTCTCTGTCCTCATATCCCAAATGGCATCCTTTAAAATCAGAAACCACAACAGCCCTCACATCCTTCCTCTTCCATGATGTCATTTGCTGATGGGGAAATATTGTGGAGATTGTAACCAATAATGGATCAGCCTGGGTAGCTGCCGTGAAAGAACTGGCACAATGCTTTGGGATTTGGCACATCCAAATATTGCCATACAACTCTTGCACAAATGGTGTGGTGGAATCAAAACATTTTATGGTCTGACAAGCAATTTTGAAAGCCTGTGGAGAGAATATTAAGCAATGGCCTGACAAAGCGCCTACCACATTCTGGGCTGAGCAAATTTTGGTCCAGCATAGCACTGGTCTCTCCCCATATTTCATTGCACATGGTGTTCACCCAGTCTTCCCTATGGACTTTGAGCAAGCAACATTCCTCATACCCCCACCTAAATTCCCTATGACTGACAGTGACAAGCTGGCCTACAGAATTCAACAGCTTGAGCACTGCAACTCTGATTTATCTGATCTCCAGGAGAAGGTTCACCAAGCCCACCTGACAACTGCAGACCAATTTAAAGTGGACAATGAGCACATCCTTGCCGAATATGACTTCAAGCCTGGCACCCTAGTCCTCATTCACAACACTCGCATGGAGAAGGAACTCAACTGTAAATTGAAGCCCTGTTTTCTTGGTCCCATGGCTGTTGTCACCCAAACTGCTAGAGGCAGCAATGTGATAGCCAATTTGGATGGTGCCATTCTCAAAGCCCACATCGCACAGTTCTGCATTTATCTGTACCACCAGCAATCTGAACATACCCCCACCCTACCTGACATTCTGCAGCAGATGTCTGCCGAAATCCTGCAGACTCTAAGAGATGTCTTGTCAACCACCATTGAGGCCAACCCTGAATAAATTGTGCAGGCCTTATACCCACAAGCTCATTGAAGCAACACATGCCTTCCCTCCTGAATTTGTCACTTGTTTTTATTCATTTCCCTGAGATATATCTACTAAGTCCACAAGCGGACTCAGTAGTATGGCAAGAACATGATCCTTATTGGCATACCTGCAATTTCTTATAATTTGCATGAAAATCCAATTTACTAAGAGTAGAAACACTGAAGTCACATGTCTTAATGCACACTGAAGTCATATTGGGTGGACAAGATGTATTACCATGAATTTTGCTTAAGGTGAAATTCGGATCTACGAGCACATGAAGACATGACTAGGCTATGATTATGACTAGGAGACAAAAATATGACACAGACAAAAAAAAAAAGAAAGAAGAAGAAGGGGCAACCCAATTTACTCAGCCAGAGCCCTCCCCAGGAGAGTCTGGACTTGATCTGCCCAGCCTGTTGCAGTGTTCACTGCTTTCTGCGCCATTTGTAGACTCATCCGGAGCTCCAGCATCTTGTGCTCTGCCATACCGAGTGGTGTGACTGGCAGTTTGACTTCTAAAAATGTTCAGTTAGCATTGCCCAAATTTGAACTACACAAGGAAAAACTTACTGGCCTCAGGAAGGCAGGACCACTTATGCAATGGCCCAGGCTCACCCTTGTCACCCTCCCTCTCCCACTTTTTGGCCTTGACGGTGCTGCTTGCTCCTCAGGTAATGCACTTGGGAGCAGCCTTCTTCTTTTTGACTGTTGGAGTGGGCACACAGGACTCAGGCTCCAGGGTCTCCAGGATGAAGAGTTCAACCTTTGGGGTGGCTGCATTTTTGTTGCACACTAAAGAAAAAAGTCAGTCAAATGAAAAAAGAAAAAATGAGCAAAAGAAATATGGTGTACCTATGTGTGCGCTGCATGGCTTCTTTGCCACCTTACATGCCAAGCATGCTCCCTTTCCTGGCTGCTCCACTATGTTGCACTCATGGCTGGGTGCATCACCATCCAAAACGACCTGCTTGTGACATGTCTTACACTGTCCAAAAAACCATTAGCACCTACTAGTGACATGAAAGAAAAATGGGGGTGCCACTTACACAATTTTCCTCTGAGAAGGCCTCCACCACCACATTATCCTTTGAGACCAGCAGGAGAGCAGTCAGCATCTCCTCCAAAAGCCAACCTTGCGATAAATTGGTGATCAGTTTCATACTTGCAGAGAACAAAGGAAAACCAGGTGACTTACAGTGCATTGGGTAGCCACCTTGCTTGGCCTGCCACAACCGGTGTGCATGGTGACAGTGGCCACTGCTTTCCCTTTGGCGGGACTTGGCTCCACCTTGATGGACTGCTCCTCTTCTGCCAAAGCAGGGCTAGATGCAACAGCAGAGTGGTGCTTCTGGTGAAAAGTTAGTACCATGAAAGAAAAAATGGATTCACTGGACAGGCATACCAAGAAATTGTCCAGCAGATCGCCAAAAAACTCATTGGCATCCTCCTCCTCCAGCTCCTCCTCCTTCTCCTCCTCTGGCTTTGTCAGTCATGCCAGCTCCTCCTGATCATCCTCTGGCAGCAGGTCAAGCCAGACCTTCAGGAGATTGGCGATGCAGTGCCTTTCCCTGCTTTTCATGAGCAGCATCACTGTATCCCAGATTGGCACACCATCCACGTATTTTGTGACCAAGAAATTCAGCTTGCCAATGGCAGAGACCATGATGTTGATAATCTTGATCACATTGCTGAGAAGCTGGGCACTGGTTGGCAGCTTCAGCATTGGCTTGAGGGTCTTCTTCACAGGCATGGTTGATATGTCTGAGTAAAGGCAGGGAGGTGAAGTCAAGCTTTGAGCAGACAAGGAAGGCAAAATTTGGTTCCATTTATAGGCAAGACCAGCCCTCATCAGAAGACAAAAAATGCACATGGCCCCTGCTATGCACCAATATCTGGAACAAAGTTTAAGCTAAGGGGGTGCAGATAAACACACCACTGGGCTTTGCAAAGCAATAAATCGGCCAATCAGGGTCTCAGGCACTGCATGACTCAATGCAAAAAACACAGTCAGGGTCCTTCTTGTGGACTTAAGCAGTGCTGCAAGCCACTGCTTAGGGTCCTCACATGTCCACCAGCTGCCCTTAGTGCCAAATGCACAGCACCGCCTGCCAATACACCTCCTTACAGAATATTTGATGCTGCTGTTTTACCTGTGCCCCAATATGTGGCTTGATGTCATACCATGGCACATCTTATGATTGGTCCTAGATAACACCACCCTTGCTTCACTCAATATTCAGTGGTACTGCACCCTGTTCTTGACTGTGCATAGCATCACCTGCATCCCCACTGACTCAGGGAGTCAGTATTCAAGGTTTGGGGGGGATGAACAACCCCACCTCTGGTGGGGTGTGTCAGGCCAATATTCCCACAGTTATTTTCAGGCCTTAGAGACTGTTGCAGGGTACTATGGACCCTCTCACTATGTGGACAACCCACCCCAGCAACAAGCCTCAGCCCACCATGGATATTCAGCATGGTGACTACTATGACTCCCCAGGCAATGGGACCACTCGGATATTTGGCATGATGACTGTGGGTTTCCTCCACAACAGGATTGACCCATCTGGATATTCAGCATGCCAATGCTTGCCTTAGAGAGGTATCTGCAGACCAGCTTAGTATAGAATACAGTTTATGGTAGCTAGTATAAGTAGTTTCCAGAAACTCCTGTATCTAGCTGTGAGGGCAACACAATCCAACAATTGTTGATGATCAAGTAACCAAACAGGTGACAAGCAAATCAGAGAGTAGTGAGTCATATGTCAACCAATGCCTTGATGTTCATTCACAAATGGAGGGATCAACAGGGGTGTTATAGAGTGAGTGGGGATTGGCAGCCAACAGGCACAATCATGTGTGTGTCATGTGCACATTTGGAATGATTAAAGCTTTATGTTTAGAACCTAATGACCTTGGACTGTGGGGTTCCTAAGAGATTAGCTCTAAAGAGCTAGAGGGGCTATACCTAGGGTTCTATATATGTCTAGGTATGGAAGTAAAAAGGAAGCAAAGTCTGTGGCTGACTATACAGCTTGTTTAGGGCAGGCACCTCATGTCTCTGGTCTGGTTGGTCCTGCACAATCTATGACTGACATCTCACATTCTGGGATCTGTCCTTCCTGGAGTTGGGTGATTGTAGTATCAGCTGTTGTTTGGGGTGTCATGCCATGTGACTGTGCTCTGATCATTGTTGATTGCAGCTGTTTGCAATTGATTTTAGGGACGTCCCCTGATACTAGCTTATTCTGCCCCTCTTCCAATAGACTTATATGGATTGGATTATTCATATACTGGCAGACTTGACTTGACTTAGTGTATTTGACTTGACTGGATGTATCTGACTAGATGGAGACTAACCTCCAATTTATCAACTGATTTCTGACAGCTCAGCTTTGGGCTGACTCCTGCATTTCTACCGACTTCCCCCATCTCTCCCCTCTTTTCTGAGCAAGTTCTTGCACACCACCCATCAGACCAATATTTTGGACACCTCTTGGGTTAGATCAGTGTGGAAGCTGGTCCATCCACAATGATAACTGAGATGGAAGAAGAGGGGGCTGCACATGTGAAGGTGGCAGCCACTGAGATGGAGCAGGAGGAGGCAAAGGGGGCTGTTGCAGTAGAGGCTGCAGTAGTGGTGGATGTCATGGAAAAGAAAGAGGTGGGTATCATGGCAGTATGTGGCATTATACTGGTGCTAACTCATTGACATAGGATAAACCAAAACATCCGAAGCCACACCAGATTTTTCAGAAGACTGCAACCATGTCACCCCCAAACAATTCCGATGAGGTGGAGTTCATGGATAATGTGCCACCTGGGAGAGCAACAGAACAGTTAGCAACTTTCATGCCTGTGAGTGCAGTGTGTCCCATTTCCCTGACTTTCTGTATTCTGTGAGCTGATGGGAGTTTGTCTTATAGAGAGTGCATCCTCCCCAAGGTAGGGGGAACACCATGGAGTCTGATATGGTAGAAGTTGTTGTCCCTCAGAGGGTCATGGTGGTGAGTACAGTTGGTATGCAGATAACAGCAGTACTTATATGTTCCCAGAAACCCATCTGCCCCATAAATACAAAGGCCAGCAAGAGCATGAAGAACAAGGGGAAGGCCCGGCTGAGCACATGGAATGCACCTGAGCTGACAAATCGATTGGCAAAAGGTTTTACACTCAAGGCCAAGCCAACAACTGTTGCCAAAGGGTTCCAGCTCTTGTGGACCTTGTACAGTTTGTGGTGGGAAGTTGCTCTGCTCAAGGTAAGGAATTTTTGTGTCACTGTAAATAGCATGCTAACTCTCTTTAAAGTGCAAAGAGTGTGCCAAGGAGGGTATGCATTGCTGGTCTTGGTCAGCGACTCAATGTTGCACACTGTGCCACCAGTGCTCAAAGGAATGCTCACTGGCACCCAGCACCAGTATGTATTTCTTGGCAGTTGGCAGTATACATGCTGATGCATTGTTAGACAAACGCAAGGGCCATGTTGTCAGGAAGACAAATAGTTTGGCCAAGGTCCCCAATGAAGGCAGGGAATGGCCCAAGGTTGTGAAGCCTGCCAAGTGGGAACAAGTCTGTGTGTTGCTCAGTAAGTTGTCATATGGTACTGTGGTATGCCACATTATCTAACTTTTGTGCAGGACAAGCATCTTCCTGGCTCCTCATGGCCAGTACTGCCATGAACGAGTGGGTGATGGAGATCTGCCTTAATCAAGCCAGCCTCATGTTTGTGCTCAACACCAGCCATGATGAAATCTTGTATGTTCATCTGCCCTGCAAGGATACTTTTGCCCCCATGGGCATGCAATATGAGATGAACTTGGGCACTGTCAAGCTGATCAACAAAGGCATGAAGAAGTGCAAGGCCAAAGATGATGATGCCAGTACTTTGCAGGACATCAAGAAGGCAAAGCTCATGGAAGTCAAGATGGAGGAGGCAGAGGATGTTAGGGCAACACAGGCTGACTAAGTCTGCTCACCTAAGAGTGCCAAGAGTCTAAGCAGGCAGCAAGGAAGTGGAGTAGACCTGATGACTAAGACCTATCTACAGTATAGGTACCTGTGGATGAGCCTAAGAGACCAAGTCTGAAGAGACAGTCCCCAGGCAGAGTAGGCCTTATATCTATACCTCTGTGGTGGAACCTGCTAGAACATCTTGCTTACTCAGCCTAGTCAGGTGATCAGGTCATATGACCAAGGATGAGGTCATATGAGGTCATGCACAGCCATGCACAGCAGGTCACCTGACCATCCAATCCTTCCAGCAGGTTCCAGCACATGCCAAGGTATACCAGCTACTTCCATGTCATAAAGGCTTAGTCATGTCTCTTGACCAAGCAATGAGCTGGTGCCCTGACAGAGGAGTCACTCAGAATGGCACTGGTGAGTATAGTTATTCATGCATATGAGGTGGCCTAATGGGTTTGATAGCATTCTGGCTGGAGTACCAGTGTGCCAGCAGAACTGATCTACTTGTCAAGTGATGAGGAAGAGCCTCCATATGAGG